GATTCGTGCATGAGGAAGCAAACCAGGGGTCGCGGGTCAGTTGAGAAGCCCGTTCCTGAAAAAGTGGGTTCATTTCACAACACTCTGAAATTTTACTGTAATGTATACACTCTGCATGTATCAGGCCTCATATACAAAGAAACACAAACAGAGACATGGAAACGTGCATAGCTTGACTCAATCTCTGTCTATCTCTCTCTCTCTCTCTGTCACTCTCCCCCTCCCTCGCTCGCTTGCTCACTCGCTCTCTCCCTCTCTCTCTCTCTCTCTCTCTTCTCCATCTCGCCCTAGCCCTATCGTTACCTCGGTCAGGTGCGTAGGTAAATAGGTAGATGAGAAAGTGGGTACCAGCACGTGGGTGAAGAACTGGAGTGTACCAGTACGTACTTAGTGTGATATGGCAAAAGGGAAGAGAAGCAAAATAGGTAGGCAATGACAAAAATGTGCTGTTGGCGGAATGAGATGCACTTGGAATCTGGAATCCTGGAAGGCACCATCAAGGGTGGTTATTTATTTAAATTTACTTATTTAGCTCATCCATGCCTAGTAGTCCACATTGCGTTTGTGGCAACTAGAATCATATGGTTGTTCATGTATCGCTATGAGATGCCATGGACATGTTGTGGCTGCATCATGCTGCGTCATGCTGCGTCTATGTCTATCATTGTCTATCATGTCTATCTGCCTGAATCATTGCGGAATCTGCATTGTAGTTGCCACTGGGCCACTGGGCCACTGGGCCACTGGGCCACTGGGCGTGATGTTTCGTGGATTCGCCTCATTTCGGTGTGCCCCAGGCCTTCTTGGGCTTCGCCGCCTTGGGCACCTTGATGGATTGCTTCCACCTGTCCTTGTCTGGATCCCTGCAAAGATTTGGTGAGGGCATGGAGGGCGCAAGGCACAACTCTGCACAAGTGCCTCATTTTACTCATTTTATTTTGATTCAAGTTGATTCATTGGTATTCATTGTATTCATTTCATTGTGTCCAACGTTCCAAGCCACACACACTGATCACCACTACTCATTACTCATTCCAAATCAACATGACCGTACTCGTAGGACATCATCGGACCTAGATGAGGCCTCACATTTTGACATAACGATTCTCTCGTTTCCGCTCAGCTCGCCTAGTCCGGTCCAAGGTCAATGACATGGAAGGACCGAGCTCTTCAAGTTCCACTCGAGGCAAACTGGCGTTGCAATAGCACTTGAGCGGTGTTCAAAAGGGTTCGTGTATTCCATTATTATACTCACTTGGTGCTTTCGCAAATCCTTTCGCGGTGCTTTCGCGACCACACTCCTGGCTTTCGCGCAATGAACATTTGACAGAACTGCTTTCGCGGAGCTTTCGCGACGGTCTCTGTCCATTTGGTCTTCACCAAGCTTTCGCCCAACTTTCGCGAGCTGGGTTTTAGCTTTCGCGGGCACTACCCAGTTTAAGCCCGAGTAAAGCCCTCCATTGGTTTTGAACGCTGCTCACTTGGCTTCGTTGGGATCACTGGGATCAGTGCATGCAATGCTGCATTGCATGCTGATCTGGGACGTGGATCCCAGCTGAGTGGATTCGCTCTGGCCTTCCTACTGGTTTTGCATGTTTCGAAAGCCGAAGAAACATACGAGAACACGATGGAACAAGACTCTATGCGCCCCATTGCGCTCTATGCATTCTGCAGAAATCGCTACACCTGGGAGGTGAAGAGTTTCTTACGCAACGCTGGATACTCATCAGCGCCTAAACCGCAGCACCTTTTTAATATTTTTTTTACCTTCTGGGCACTTACTGCCATTTCTGGGTGTCATTCAAGCTATGGGTGCTCTTTACATCTTTTTGCTAATTACTTTTCTGCAATACTTGCAAACTGCGCTCACGCACCCCTAGACTCCTGGACTACGCTTCAGACTCTATCCGAATCTACACTCACGACATTGCAAAAAACCAAAGGTTTCCAAAGGTGGGTTTTCGGTTTAACGTCATTTCGCAATCCAGACTGAAGGACAACTGGCGCAAACTGACGCACCTAGATCCCGACTTCTGCATGCTTATTCTGTATCTTCTGAGCAACACCTGTCCACATCAGTGCGGATTCTCTTGGGGGACAGCAGCAGCCCACAGAGGCCCAATATCTGCGGTATATCTATGGTCTTCTATCCTTTTTCAAGACTTCAAGATCCAGCTTGGTAAGGCAGAACCTAGAGTCCTATAGAGATGTGACACCAGAAATCTGTTGCGAGAAAGTCTCATTGTTCCAAATAAATATCCAGCCATTGAGGCCTTTCCCAAATTCAAGGCATGTGGCTCTCAACAATTTCATCTGCCATCAACTGCCACTCCTTTCTTCCTTTTTGTGGAAGGAATGATACGGATCAGGAAGTGAGATAATGTATATATATATATATTATATATATTTATATATCTATAGGGGTGCACTCCGAACATACATGAAATCAGTCATTTCAAATCCAGTAAGACTATGTTCATCCACACCTGCCCCTGCTAGCTACACTGTCAACCCATGCCTTTGGCTTCGCATCGCTGCCTGACACTCTGACATCAGTGCAAGACTGAAAGCCATTGAACTTGTAAGATGTTGGAAGTACCTGCATATGAACAAACATGTACAAGCTGCAAACACAACATTCTACCAGAATCTATTCTCTGCACCACTGCTGCGAAACATCGCCCTCGCTTTCAAATCAAAATCCGACAAGTGCCCACTTCTCAAGCTTGGTTGAGCGTAGTCAAGTATATACAGTACGTAGAACGAGTCATTTGTAGCACTTTGAGGCAGTATTGCACGATATTGCACGTTCTCGGGCTGTGAGTCCAAACACCAATGCCTTTTCGGGAACGTGTTTTTGTGATTCTTTGTGTCACGACCTTTTTTTTGAATTCAAAATCTGCAATGCAACTATGCGAACCAAAACATCATTAGAATGACGTTGCCAACCAGTCCAAATCGGGGGGTCTTGCCTGGTTGGTCTAGCGCCGTACAAACCTCAGTACAGAGTATCAGGAGCTACGTTCGGAGGGACAGGGAGAGAGAGAGGAATGGAACATAACGGCAGAATTTATCTTATAAGAGAAAGGAACTAGGAACACGGCCTTTATCTGGCCGTGGTGTTTTTGTGATCAACGGGGTGTCATGGATGATGTTTGATGTGGTCGTGCCAATAGAATTTTGGCTGATGTGATTTGAAAGGCGAAAAACCCCTGATTCTGGTGCATAAAATCAAAATCTAGCGTTTCGCCTAGGCGAAACTATCATTTTTGATGTTTCTCAGAACTCCCCAACTAATTCGACCTGTATTGTTTTGATGTGAGTTCAAAGACAAGAAACCCCCTTATTCTGGTGCAGGAATGAAAAAACAAGTGTTTCGCCTAGGCGAAAACGCATTTTTTTGTAATTCCACATGTTATGTATTGATGAAGTTGGCACAGCCTGCCAGACGACCTTGCAACCGACCTGGATTTCAACATGTTATGTATTGATGAATTTGGCACAACCTGCCAGACGACCTTGCAACGGACGTAGCATGACGTATCAGTTAAACGTACCTGAACACTTACAAGAACGTAGCATGACATATCAGTTCAAAGTACCCGAACACTTCCAAGAACGTAGCATGACATATCAGTTCGAAGTACCCGAGCACTTACAGGAGCGTAGCATGACGTATCAGTTCAAAGTACCCGAGCAGTTGCAAGAACGTAGCATGACGTATCAGTTCAAAGTATCCGAGCACTTACAGGAGCGTAGCATGACGTATCACCCCACCCCACCCATGTCTACACGCACATAACGGCACACACAGAGACGAGTCCACTTACCTAGCAAGTTCACATGAACGTTAACACATGCCCCACCCCACCCCACCCATGTCTACACGCACATAACGGCACACACAGAGACGAGTCCACTTACCTAGCAAGTTCACATGAACGTTAACACATGCCCCACCCCACCCCACCCCACCCATGTCTACACGCACATAACGGCACACACAGAGACGAGTCCACTTACCTAGCAAGTTCACATGAACGTTAACACATGCCCCACCCCACCCCACCCCACCCCATGTCTACACGCACATAACGGCACACACAGAGACGAGTCCACTTACCTAGCAAGTTCACATGAACGTTAACACATGCCCCACCCCACCCCCCCAATGTGCACGAAAACGCACGGCCAGATAAAGGCCGTGCTCCAACTAGATAAATGATGATAAACAATCAAAGAATGAGATAGAATGAGTAGATATTCAGAGACATGGATATATTAAGATATATTTGCATCATTTTGGATCTTTTTGCTATGGTTTTGTCCTGAAGCCTAAGGCAGGCTGAGTAGATCACACACCTGTAGCAGGCGATTAGCCTGACCAGCAATATCTATACAGTGGCCTTTCCCCTGCACTAAGGCAACTTGGCAACTCTGTGCCAATCCACTCTAAGCAAATTAATGTAATTACTTCTCCGACAGCCAATTCGAGCTCAGGCATCTGCAATGGCCTGCTCCATGCCAGACAAAAGCACCTGCCAAAATCTGCTTTGTCAATCATCAACGAAGCCACTTCAGACGCCGATCTTACAATTTCTGACTATTCAGTAGACCATTACGATCTTACAACGCCGAAGCAGACACCGATACGCGTGAATGTTTATAGACTATTCAGTAGGCACCTTGAGGGTCAAATATGTGTATATAAAAGAAAGAAGGAAAGAAAGAAAGAAAGATAGAAAGATAGAAATATAGATAGATAGATAGATAGATAGATAGATAGATAGAAATCATCCATGTGACTCAAATCCTTCCTGACGTTGTGGGTGTGTGCCATGTAGCACTGAAACGGCAGAGTGAACATATCCAGCCCAGGCAAAACCACCCATACAATTTGAATTTGTAGCTACCTGGATCGCGCTCATTGACAGACATTAAGTCTTAAGTTGTCTGCTTGGTCAAGTTGTCACGAGACTGCGCTGCGTGCAAGGACTTTTGCCACTCCAGCAGCAGGTCTTAACGACCCCAGCATTTGTGCCAAACCTGTCCAACAGTCGACGGGCACTTGAAATCTCAACGTCCCCAGCAAAAGTTGCAGATCATCGCCATGCCAAAAATTCTCATCCGACCAGATATACTTGGAAGGGCAAAGGAACAAAGGCAATAATTGGCAAGAACAATTTCCGGCTACAAACTGTGGAAAATTCGAGCAGCAGGCCTAAGGGACCTCGATGGACCTCGGCCTAATCTTTCCGGAACTCCTCATTGCTGTTCCTCAGCTCGATGTCGCGCACAGCTTCAACATCCCAGCGAACCTTTTGCCCCTGTACTTGCAAGTTGTCAGTTTGGGCTACGAAGAGACGAGCAATCGACTTGCTGTCAACATTAAGACACGAAGCACGCGCTTTTCGCACTTGATATACACACATATGTATATTTATGGTATTTATGTACTTATGTTTTGATGCATTTATTGTATTAAAACTTATGTATTTCTGCCTGTCTGCCTGCCTGTCTGTATGCACCTGCCTGTCTGTATGCATGCATGCCTGCATGTATGTATGCACCGTATGCCTGTGATGCGTGTGATGCATGTCATGTCAGGCATGTCATGCATGCATATTCATATGTAGATATATCATATATTTACACATACATAGACACACCCACACACACACATCCATCTGAGTATGTATGTATATTACACATGTGCATGTCATGTGTATATACGTACATATATATATAATTATATGTATACAGTAATTAATTAATTATATATATAATTACTGTATACATATAGTTATATATAGTATACACAATTATGATCAATTATGTATGTACAATGTAGATTTTGGTCGAGTACACGCTGTGGATACCATGTGGTATCGCGGAATAACATTGTGTGTATTATATACATGATAATATGATGCACAATATAGTGCCATATGTAAATGGAAAGCAGCCCGGCGTGGTATTTACAGTATCAAAAGTGAATTTCAAGCGCTTACTGACCTTACTGTCAAATTCATTGCGTTTTCCAATAGATTTGGTGTTGTGCTTTCACCGAAAAACGGGATCACGTTTTGAGCTTGAATGTTGCAAAACGAGCCTTGATGGACTTGACCACCCCAGCCCACCCCAGCCTACCCCAGCCCATCCCAGCCCACCCCAACTCACCCCAACCCCCCATCACCCCACCCCCCCGCTCATCTTCACCGTAGGCTAAATTTGAATGCACTGGTCCTGCAGCGCGCAAGTTACTGTGACATGAACGTAAAGAAAAAGTGCAAAACACGCGTTCGGGTTTCACCCCACCAGCAAAAACATGCAAAAACATGCAAAAACAACATCTGTATTGAGAACGAACATGTTTGAAATATGTTCTTGCTCAAGATGAGAACGCTCTGCTGGTCTACTCTTTTGCTACAGAGACGCTCTGCTGCGTACTGAGTGACGTAGCCGACGTAGCTCAATTATTTGCCATGAATTGCGAAATATCAAATGCTAAGTATCTGCCGCATTGCATCATTTGCATTCATTTGCCTTCTCCTTCAGGCAACATTTTGCAATCTTGTATAGGTTGCTAACTTCACCAGGCTTGTGTGAGTGAGACCTTTCCCTTGTGGGGTTGTGATCAGAGCGGGTCACACGCTGCTGCACTCGTGACATCCTGTGCTTCTGTTCAAACACAGCTGGGGTGACACATGCACTAACGGAAGCATACCCTGGCTTAACAAGTAAACCAGAATATATATACGTATATATAATTATATATATACACGGTATAGTTCTCCTTGAACCCCTGTGAAGATCCAGCACTTCAGCTTTATAGCAAAACGAAACAAATAGTCGCCATAATTTGATGTGGTTTGATTCTAATCAACCAGTATCAACCGACCCCTGACCTTTCTCCGTCAAGGCTCTTTTTGTGTGGGAAGCGTTGGAAGGCGGACTGCCAGGACTCACTGCCCTTGCAAAGGCACCGCAAGAGCTCCCCCAATAGCGACAAGGGCAGTCGAATCTGCCACATCGTATCGCGTTCACGTAGGGTTACACTGCTATCCTCCAGGTCAACAAGCTGTGGCGTGGCTGGCAGGTTTGGAATTGTTTGGAATTGTTTGGAATCGGCAGTAACATAAGAACCTGCGTATGTTATACTAGAATGTACTGGACCGTTGCTAGACCCGTAGTACAAGTCGTACTGCATGCCGCAAGGAGCTAGCTTTACCAGGTTGTGGGCGAGTACTACGCAAACTCTGGTTACTCGGGTAAAAGTCAACACTACTGATCTGAAGTATTGCTGCAATGCAGTTTCAAAGTGTTTCATTGAATTATCAGTTGAATCATTTCAAGAATTTTCAAGGTACTTGCATTTCACTTCAAGATCTTCAAGACATCTGCATGTATTGCCAGCAGTCGCAAACATGGTGGCGTGTGGCGCACCTCCATGGTCTCAAAATCAAAGGTCACTGCAAACGGCACGCCAAGCTCATCATTCCGGGCATATCTGGCGGCTGGCGGTGCAGATTGTTGTGGCTGTATGTGGCTGTCGCGCTTGTGGCCGTACTGTTTAACGGGGAAATCTCTATGGCAACTCCACAAAGGTGGAAGATTGTGAGCTCCATAAGGAATCAGGTATGACATGGTATGACCATATTACACAGTCGAGGACTGCAACCTGCGCTGGACTGAAGACTACCCTGCCACAGCAGAATGAAGGTATTCATGGCTGTGTGCCAATCTTCAGAATACAGCAACAACAGGGAAGTGTTTTTTTCCTAAAGACCCCACCAAGCAAAGAGAATCAACAAGGACATGCTATGCACCTCCTGCCGATAGTAGCATTGCTCTCATCACTAGTGAAGGACAAACCCTGCTCGCAAAGCTCTCTCCTAAGTATTTGACAGCTGAAACATGCAGAAACAACAGCCACAATAAATGATATTCTGCGTGTTTCATGCACGTCAATTGATTTTCTGAATTGATCATATTCGATTCTGCCCTCAACAATCAATGCATCGTGTGTACTTCATATATTATATGCATAATTATAATATATACGTATATATATAATTATATATATATAATACACCTGTGGGTCTATGTATACATTCTTACAAGAGACAAGGAAAGCTTGGTGCATACGTACCACACTGAATGAAACGATCAGACCAAAGCCGTCACGGATCTGACAAACATACAGTACTGTACTAGTTTTGCGAACAGTGAACAAAGGAGCTTACGCTGCCAACACCAATGTTGGTCTCCAAACAAAGCTCCTGCACTACATTCTGTATAATATACAGCCTATGTACATACTGACATACCTAGCTACCAGTACCTGCCTATCTCAGCATACATGATATGACATGACATGACATTACATTACATCACATCACATCATAATAATCATATTATTACCTTTACACAACTTTGAACTATATCACACCACACCACACCACATCACATTACATAATATCACATCACACGTAATACGCTAGATCACATTGCATGAATTTGCATTACATAACATTATATACATTACACAATATTGCACGATATTACATGATTACGTCAAATTGTATACTTACTGTCTTACTTGCTTGCTTACTTACGTGCTTACTTGCTTACTTACTTGCTACAAGATCCTACGAGCATAGCCGAGGCAACATCGATGACAAGCATCGTGAATGAATCCAGCATTTGAAGGTATCGCTTGTCCCGGGCAATTCGCTGATCCAATGGAAGGATTACGCACCTGAAAACAGCACGGGCCGTGTGCAAAAAACTGCCACTTCTTGGCCAAAGCAATAGGTGACAAGATGGTGCAAGTATCCTAACGAGAGGGCGCATGCTTACTAAAGTTCAAGGCCATGTCTGCTACAGCTCAAAGCTGGTCTCCTCTCCAGTTGAATCACTTGCCAATGCATGCCACAGCACTTGTAGGGAGCGGATGATGCTGCGAAAGACAGCACGCCCCTGGTCTGCTTGTCGTCTTCCTTGTCATCCTTCGGCCGAGCGCTGTAGACATGCCTTGGGAGGGCGGCGAGTGGAGGAAGGGAGAGGTGATGAGAGAAATGAATAGAAATGGGTGCATTGTCGACGTCCCGTCGCAGTATTGTCTCATGTTTCGTGACATTATATAGATTGACTTCCACAAACGTTTCTACTTTCACTGAGCAAAGTGCAGAGGGGAGAGTCAGGGTGGACAGGTGATTCAACCGGCTTCGGCTATGGCTACGGGTATGTCATGTAAAAACACACTAATTATCACTAATTATTGTTCTCAGGATTTCCGGGGAAGGATTTTGCCATCCAAGTAAGATCAGATTCACAACCCTTCACAAAAATCTGACAGTCTGACAGTTCTCAGCACAGTAGTTTCAGCAAAAAAAATACCTACCTTTCCGATCTTTTTCTGGCAAGAAACTCAAGTAGCATTGAAAAAATACGATCGATTCCAAAGGATGGCTCAATGACCCCAGGAGTGAACGCATTCACGGTGACCTGCGCAATAGCCACTGCCGCGAAGATAAAATAAGATAAAAGATGTTTAGAGAATTTTAGAGAATTTTAGAGAATTTTAGAGAATTTTGATACCGAAAAGGCATGACCGTTACAGTGTCCCGGTCGCCTTCAGAACAAGAGTCACAAGTGGTCTGTACTGTGAAGGTGAGCTGTTGTACCCAATGGATGTGCGTTTCTGAAAGGGATGAGTGCAAATGTTGCGGAAGTATGCATAGGCTGCTGCATAGGTGACAACTGATCACATGTTCAATCAATTCCAATCAATTTCAATCATTTAAATTTGTCCTGCCTTCTCTTTTTTCCTTTCGAAGACAGCAAGTCCTTTGGTCAAAGTGAAGCTTCGGCCATCGACCTGGACTTCGGCATCGCCTGTCTCAAGCTTCTTGGCTACGCACTCCAGCTCCTCTTGGGGTTGTGCCTCGATGAATTCCTCAGAATCTCAGAACGTCCACCACTGGAAAGTCTACTGGAAAGTCCATCGGATGAACAAGCTGGAGGCTTAGCAACTGTAAATTTTAACAACAACAACAACAACAACAAACCACCACCACCACCACCACCACCAGCACCACCACCAACACCACCACCACCACCACCACCACCACAACCACAACCACAACCACAACCACAACCACAACCACCACAACCAAAACAGAAACCAGGAACTCAACAAACTATTAGCACATTACCCTTGGGGGAAAGCATTGCAAACAAAAAGAGCGCTTGATCATTGAGCAGGAAGCCTTCACCATCTTTCCATCCTTCTTGAAGGCTTTCATGATATCCACACCTGACTTTTTAGTGAGGATCAAGACTTCTCGTTCGAAAGGCTTCTCCAAGGACTCCTGCCATGTGTAGTAGCTACAAAAATCTAAGAATCTACAAAATGCTGCAAAAGTGTCCTGCAGCGTACTACTGTCTTGCGTGTCCTGCTGGACTCCAAGTGAGCATCCGGAGCGTCGACTGATTTAGTCAGGGAGAAACCATTATTTCCGCATTGCGCAACTGTGTGTGTGCGCGTGATGTTGATTTCATGGGATGTTGAATCCATGTTGAATCCTACTGTGACCATCTGTGACCCATCAATGCGTGATTCTGTATTATCAGCTTCATCCTTCGTACAAGCATCGACATGTCAACACTTACATAATCTTACATAATATACACTTACACTATGTGACTATGTATGCCATGGCTAATGCGTACAGCCTGCCAGGCTGTTCGTTCTACATCTGATCTGTTCATTATGTGTTCCACCTTACACAAAGCTCGTCTCCGAGTCTCCTTGTACTGCAAGTCGCATTTCGCTGCATTTGCGTGTGCAGTCAGATCAAAGGCAGAGCGATCTGCAATCCCAACACACTCCAACCATCCGTAGGATCCAAAAATTTCAGCATCCCAGCAGTCACAGGCATAGTGTGCCATCTCTGTGGGCAAATGCTGGCGGAACCGAATGTACTCCTGGAAAAGGACATCAAAATGCACATTTTAGTCGCAAGGGATGGTGAATGAAGCTAAGAGAATAGAAAGGGGAAGGAAAAGTTAGAACCGGGGGAATCCGGGGAATCATGGCAAGTGAATTTAAGGCTTTTGAAGTGAATGCCGTGACACCTGCAGGGTGAAGGAAACAAACACCTTCGGACAATTCGTTGTGATTGAATGAGCAAAGATAAAGCCGTGATGCGGCAATCTATAATGATGAGGGAGAGAGTGTGGGAGGTGGATTTTGCTTGAAATATCCCACGCTTGGGCAACTCAGATAATATCTGCAAAAAATCAAACAAGTGACTCCAGCTAGCTACCATACTGTGCATGTCTTCAGCTTGTATCAAAGCCTCCTGAATTCAAGGCCCAAACAGATCCCCTTAAGCAAAACAATTTTGTCTGCAAAGAGAAAAACTGAAGATAGCACTGCCAGAGATGGCTTTTGCATGCTTTTGCCCTGTTTTTCTTGAGGTTCATTCGCCACTAACAAAAGTTCACACAAGGGTCCTTCTTCAAGCCAATGCTGACCAGAAACTGCCACGTCTTAACGATAAAGTAGCCCAGAGTCTCATTATTGATGAGACCAGAACGCACTGCTTCGCCAACTGTCATTTTGACAGGGTCTTTCGCGTTCAGCTGTGCATCTGCATGGAATAGAATAAGCACCGTGCTCTCCACTGACGCAAATTTGGGATGATCCTCAGGGATTGTAGGCTCAAGTGAAAGATGTGAAAGGCTGGTTCCATTCCGCCCTGATTGTGAAATGTGGGTACCTGCTTGACAATTGAAAGTTTCAGTAGGTTTGTCCAATCTGTTATCATCTTTAACATAAATCATATCCCCTGGTTTGGAACTTCCCACCTTCTGCTTTGGATTGACAAAATACTCAATCTCTGCCTGGGTGAACTCTCTCTGACGAGTTAGGCCCGCTCGAGGTGCAATTTCATTGCGAAATGAGCGACCCACTTGGGCTACTCCGAAAGGCAATCGGTTGGAGTTCTGCTCCAAGCAAAACCTTGAAGGCAGGTTTAGACGATCTGAATACGTAAGCAACTTTCAAAGGGCAGGAGTGGCAGTCAACTTTACAATCGGTCAGATGTTATGCCTGTATTGCTTTGGGCGTGGAGTGGCAATGGGGAACATACATTGCTGCAGATATCTGCAGATCAGAGGTGCTTGTAATTCAAGAAAATGCCTTGAGCTGTCTCTGGCCGCAAGTAGCCCTGCAAATAGCCTCCTGGACCAATCGGTGTTGGAAACATCAAGTTGAACTCGTATGGCTCGCTCAAGTCATTGCCAGTCTCAGGCGACTTGATCTCCTTAGACTGAGTTCATCTGAGTTCTCAATGTTTGCAGTTGGACAATGCTGGATATCTCAAGCTCTTTGATTGCCTCAGACTTGAAATTGTAGAAAGAGGACAAAGGACTGGATGGATGCTCTCCCAAAATCACGACGTCACTACAGTACATCGGCACATATCGGTGCTGGATGCTGCTAGGTACTGGTCCTCTGACTTAAGTAGATGCATGCATGCCATTGCTCGCTTTGAATCGCCGTTGTGCCCGAGTTCGATTCAATCTTATGGAATCTCATGTAATCTCATGTGATCTTATGTATAATATACAAATGCAATTATGATTGCATACAGGGTTTCTTTGACCGTACATGAATATGTCATTGGATGACAGGAAAGTTACAATAAAGATATTAGTGGAATCGTTTGCAAAAATCAAAAGACCCGTTCAATTTGCCTCGATCCCGAACTCGCAAGCTGGGCAAGTCCGGTAGATATGATCAGCATATTCTCAGTTGAGCTGAAAGTCGTATTTTTGAAAAATCTCCCACATCTCTTTCTGGGAATAGGCATCGGCCTCAGCCAAAGAGCATGGGCAACATCGAGTTGACACGACAGGTACGACAGGTACGATAGGTACGACAGGTACGATAGGTACGACAGGTACGATAGGTACAGGTATGATGATCTTGGACTTGTAGGATCTTGTAGGACACAAATTATGAGCGTCGTCTTAGACTTAAAGTCAAGAACAATCAAACACGGCAATTAGATGCAATTAGATGCAATTAGTGTAGCCGGTTTGTGTTAGTTATGGTTCTTTGATGACTTTTTGGAATCTGTTGCTCTCCATGGTCTATAGTGGTCTTCTAGTTTGTTGCATGAGACCAATTCAACACAATGCAACCTGGCATCTTTACCTGGACCCTCAAGTGGTACGTAAATTCATGATCGAGGGCAATGCTCACAAAAAAACGCTCGAACTGCAAAAAGCGTGTGTTAGATTCAAAAAATGCTCGATATGCAGCACAAATGATGTTCTGAAGATGTCCAAATATCACTTGTTGCCCCACAAACCAGCAGCCCGCTTTGCCGTGAAAAAAAAACTCTTTAAGGATCTTGAAGTTATAGTCAAATGCTGACAGGCTTGAAGTAGTCAACAAAACAAAGGGGTCACCAAACATTGGTGACATCAAAATACGTCAGCCAAAAGCCCTCATGCTCAGAATTGAAAAAAGGGCCGATCTGAAAACGCAAGTGGTACCTTTTTTTAATTTGCGCTCGTTTGCGCGAATTTGCGCCCGTTTTGCGCGAATCTTGTTTTGCGCCTAGTTTGTGCGCACTCCAGCCTTGTTTTTTTTAAATGCTCGATTTGCAATGGCAAATGGCACCACCAAGTACTGAAAATCAACGCAATGCAGTCAGCATTTAACCAACTACCTAAAGGCTGGTATTTTGCGTTCAGTTCCGTATACGTATGAGTGCACAAGAAACACACACTAGGGGCACATCTTGAGACCAGAGGGAAAATGGAACCCATGCGGCCCACAGGAGGCAAAAAATGCTCGAGTTTCGAAAAAACGCTCGAATAGCAAGAACTCAATCACATTAAAATGTGCGCTCGTTGCGCCAAATTGCGCTCGAATGTGGATGGCACGTAATTGAAGTACCAATTGAGGGTCTTTGATTAAATGTGTATGACTCAATGACACATTTCTATGACATAGACCCATATGCCGCATAGGACATCTACGGATATCTATGGATATCTGCAGTCACGGCACCTGGTTTCGCACAGTGGTGTATTCGTGTCTCTGAGCGTCTGCAATGCCTGCGAAGAAGGGCAGCTGAAAGCCACAGGACAGGAGATATAACAAGAAAGGAACTAGTATGGTTACTGTATGTTACTGTATGCCCAAAAAAGGTATTTGTTTATAAATAAACCAAAAATGTAGATAATCATAGAATATCAGAAAATTATCATAAAATATCATAAAATTATATAATATGATATAAAAGGCATGAACACAAAGCAAACATTGCCGCGTGCAGTGTGCTGAACGAAGCCACTTGGTCTCCTGGAACATCCAACCAGAGCAGACTTCCGAGTCTCAGGGCTTGGACACACAGAAACGACCAGAGGCACACGGAAAGAGCACAGAAAGCACATGCATCGGAAACAGAAAACCGCAACAAGAGACCCCAAACAGATCCAAAGAGTGAATATATGATAATGTAATATAATATGATATAATATGTGAATATCAAATGGTTTCAAATGGAAGAATTGGATGCTCTTTCAAGATCATTCAAGACCATCCTTGTGAGACGCTCTGATGGTCAAACACTCTCTTGCCTTGTCAGACACTCTCTTGTCTTGTCAGATACCCTCTTGTCTTGTCAGGCACTCTTGTCAGATACGGTTATCAAACACGACTGGTCCGCCGAAATATTCACAAACGTACAGCACACTTTGACATGGCACATGTTCATACACATATTATATATATATTATATATATTATAATTATATATATTACATATCATACATGTTCTTTGATAATTGCTGCATATTGCTGCGATGTCCAGTGGTTGAACCCTTTGACAATTAGTGTGCAGTGCACAAACAGCACAAGTGCCGCCGCTCATGCCGAACCCACTCGACGCGTTAGCTCTTCTCCCATCTCCTCCCCAAGATCCAGCCAGAGCAGCTTGGTCGAGCTTGGTAACCATGGCAAAGCAAAACTTGGAAATACCATGAAATACCAATCTGAAATACACTTGTTGCATCTTTTGTATTCTTTTGTTCTATTCGCTCTTCTCTCTCGCCATCCTTTTCGCGACACTGTCGCAATGTGCGTTTTCACTTCAGTGGCATCCGTGTGATTCAATTCACTTTCGCGGTGCTTTCGTGGATTATGGTATATTTAGTTGTGCTTCTTTCTGCGGGACTTTCGTGAAGACAATTCTTCACAAAATCTTTCGCGGAGCTTTCGCGACTATGGTTTTGGCTTTCAGTTTCATTGAGACATGTTAGTGTAACACATTGTAACACATGGTAACACCTCTTCAAATTGTTCTTTTGTTTTGGAAACTGCTCAGCTGATGCGTGTCTCGAAGCGTTCTCTCTAGCTGGATTGCCTTGGGTCAGCACAGCCTCCGGTCTTGAGACTTTTCCATTCGGGGAGAATTGCTCAACATCTTCTGAATTCCTTCAAAATCCCTGTTGCATGTGGTATTCCAATGCATGTATTCAATTGATCAACTGTAGTCGGTTGTAGTGCACTGTAATATACTGTAGTGCTCTCTAGGGACCACTTGATGAATTGCGCATAACTGCTATATATATATTATACTGCAATTAACTGCACCATACTGCACCTATTTTGCACAGACTGTACAAGTAACTTACTATGTTGTACTACTGTACTTCATCTGTAGTCACGTCAAAAAAATGTCACTGTACTTTGCCATGGCCCAGGCTGCTTTCGTGACGGCCTGGCGTTTGAAGCTTCGCCTCCATGACCTCCTCCAAGAGTTTGTCCGCTCGGAAGAACTTGGACTCGTCCTAGCGCTGAATTACGAGCAAACTTGAGAGTGCTCACCAAATGCTCACCACATGTTCACAAAAATTTCACAAATCAAACACCCCCTCTACGATATTCTACGATATTCTACGCGGTCACATGCTCCAATGTGGGAACATCGAAGACAGCATGTTGAAAACCAGCAGCCAAGCGTTGCAGGCTGGAACCCTTGCATGATCACTGTTGGTGGTCGAAATGATGTCCAAAGTACTCATCTGCGAGCGCGGGATTGTCTTTTCATGTCTTTTCGGCATTAGACACTGGCATCACTGGCAACTGAAATCAACTGAACCGAAAAAGTCATAAAAAGTCCACCTTCTGCCCTCGCCTTCACGTCCTTCACCATGAAGTCGTTGAAGCGATCCACATGACCAGAAGCCTTGAGGACGGAATGCTGCATAATACAGCTGTCCTCTCGGGCACGACAGCATACGACAGCGCTGCTAGATCTGCTAGCACTACGCTGCTTTTCCATGTCTTGGCGTGTCGCATGCCAAAGCCGTCTGGAGCAGAGCCCAGAGCCTCCGGCTTGCTCGAAGGTTATCGAAGGTTGTATTACGACAAATTATTTCAGCTTAGATTATTTTCTTTTGTCTGTAGTTCATCGTCGAACATGCAAATTCGAGGGAGTTTGATTCAGTTTGATCGCTCCTGCAAGTTTCTGCTTGATTCCACCTTATTCATCCTTATTCCACCCATTCAACATCATTCAACCGAATTCAACCCTGGCTCGCTCTCTCGGTCTCTCATAATTGCTCTGCTTTTGCGTCCTCAATCTCCAAGAGATGCTCTGAAATCACAAAGGTTTGTCTCCAGAGGCTTATGATGTTATTCTTCACGGCACTGCCAGGTGGACCATAGGTGTAGAAACCCGCGACCCCACCATAGATATCTGAGGCTTGGCGATAGAAGAAACGTCTCTTGCACAGTTCCTGGCGAACTGGGAGCAAGCAATACATACCAGAACATTTGGCGGGAAGAACCGCAGTGTGAAAACACATTCAAACAATTTCAAACAGTCATATTATATACCTAGAGCCGGTTTGTTCCCTGTTTTGGGGTATGGACATGTATTACGGCTCTGTGTTCATGGCCTACCCAAAATACGCCCCTTTGTTAAAAAAACGGGTTTTTGATGTTTTGGGTTTTTTTAATGATTTTTAATCTTCTGACCATATTATCACCCAGTGCCAAAGAAAACATCAGCGCGCACACACAAATGCCTTCCCAAAACGGCTGCACATCTCCCAGAGTAAATAAAACCCTTCTAAAACCAACGCAGTACTTCACCTGTCTCTTCTCTCTTCTATTTTTTCCTCCATGCGCACGTCATCGCATATCTAATCATAGCAATCCCGGCCCCTTTGATCACCATCGGACCTTTGCAGCGCCAACTGAGCCAAAATGAGACACCTGTGAATGACATTTCGGTGAAGTTGTCGGATGTTCACACGACGGGAGGCCCTGCTGGGCCTCCCAATGAAATCTTCTTGTAATTGTACTGAACATCCTAGGGGATTTTGGCACCAGTCCACCAAATCTGACTGCTGCCGCAACTGCAAAGCCACATGGCTCAGGTAATGCAACTTCGGCATTAAGCTATACCGATTCTTGCCAACAGCCAAAGTCTCATGTGCCAAACGCCCATAGACATACAAGAAGAAAAACACTTGCCTGGAGAGGGACTTTGCGCAATTCTTGTTCACCCAGTACCCAGACCCGTACATCGTTGACAGTGCACGATTCATAGCCGAAGTGCCATCTGCCTCACACACAAGCGCGGGCCCATCGATATTTGAGAACAAAGCATCAACCAAAAACAGTTTTTTCAACCAGACTAAACAACCCCAAAGTGCATTGCAATTTTACAAACTTGAAAGGACATCTTGTAAATTATGACATAAAGTCGAAAATACAAACAATAAGTAAGAGGTCATGGGACTATCAGCAAAAGCTGCTCATCATCACTCTTGCCCTTGATGAATTTGGTGCAGTAGTGTTCGAGAAACAGCATCATAGTTGTACTGCAAGAACCCTTGTTCCATTTGCCAACTGGTGCAACTGATCCCTGGGGAAAAAGCAAAGTGTCACGGCTAATCTCAGTAATCCACATCGCGAGGCGATTTGTCCGACAGAAGGTGACGTACTCATCAGTCATTGATTTGAATTTGTTTTCCATGGAACTTCTTGGCAATAAATCCGATTCAGCAATCATCACAAGAGAATTTGCAACAAAATGTTTGCAAATGCCCAAATGAAAAATATGCCACAAATCCAGGCAGAAAAAACCACTGGCTTCTTCCCGGTTGATGGGAAGGCCAGATATCATGTCAGGTTCTGTCCGCCAAGGCAAAACCGTATGCATCGTTTGCTCCCAACATGGGCGAGGTCTGAGGTCCTCATATGGAAAATGTTCAGCACCTGTTCTGATATTCTCTTCTTGCCCCCCCAGACACAAATGACAAATTCCTTCGCAAGGGTTCTGCGTTGATGGCCTCTTTGGGACATGTAAGAAACTGCGGGTAAAGCCTCCAACTTTCCCAAGTGCTGGTAGGTCACCCTTTGTTCCGATATGGACAAGTCTCAGTCGGGTACCATCACATAAAATCCCTTCACATGCAAGCATCGCAGCATCAGTTGCAAACAAATTCAAAAGTTGAGAAATCGCTTCAGGGTGCATGTTGGAAACTTGTTTCGTGATAGTACAAAGCAAAAACTGTGTAGAGAATGTTTGTCCAAGAAAATTGAGACCCATCTCATTCTCCGAAATCGGTTTTGTGCGCTTCTTCTCTGTCACAAAGCGACGAGTTCCTCTTCCCAAAGCCCCATGACACGAAAGAATCCAAATAGGCTCATGCTTTTGAGAGCGTCCCTCATCTGTATGGCTGTAATATGGCACAGTGTGTGCCAGGTCTATTCCTTCCAGTCCAAAAATCTCATGGTGTGGAAACAAAGCCCTGAACCTCCTCCAGTACTGTGTCAAAACTGCTGGCATTTGTTCCAGAGAGCAACCTACAAGTTGTCTAGCGAAACGGCCAGTATTCCACAGGAACAGCACCCAGTCCGACAATTTCAGGTATGGAAATGCCTTTGTCCCAGCTATCTCTGCATTGTAAACTTGAATTGGCACACTCAGCCCATAGCGTTGGAAAAACTTGTGAACCGCAACCTCTGCATCAGCCAGCCTGATAGCTGAGAATTCACGAACCTTTGGACACACACGAGGGTTGTGAGCAACTTCAGCCTGTGCCAGCTCGACGACGTGCGAGCATGCGGCCTTGGCGGTCAGAGAGCACTTATAATTAGGATATTAGGGCGAATAGTGAAGAGGGGGATAGTGAAGAATAGTGATATATATAGAAAGAATATATCCATAAAACATTGTAAGGAGGTCAGGTTCCACACATTTCCGCACCATATTGTAACGTATGGTTGCGCTGGGTTGCACAATCAGACATACAACTGGAATGTACCCATGCACACACTCACACATACAAGCAGAACAACTTCTGCGTGCACCCTATTGAACCCCGTCACTAGCTTTCTTTTCCTTGCGCGCTCCCCGCAAAGAAATCTCATCCATCTCACCCTACTCTTCGCAGCTGGTCCGCACGACCACCAGTGATGTAAACAAAGTACGGCGGAGATGGAGGGTTTGATCTGTTTAAACAACCCTCTCCCCCGGTTCCTCCTTTGTTTTGGCACCCGATTTCTCGATGGAACTGTAGAATCAAAGAGGCCTCCAACATATGAACCAGATCAACACTCCTAGAAACCCAAATCAACCACATTGATGTAAAAGCCTTCTCCCTGTAGTCTGCAAATCGGGTGACTGGGTTCGATGTAACCCCAATTTTGAAAATGCAGAGCTTGATGCCCAGCTTTTCACGAAAAGATACAACCCGCTGTGTAGCAAGGGCCAAGATTTTGCCACATGTCATTGATGAGCTAGCAGTGGCCCGAGTGCATAGGTTAGAAATTCCTAGGCCTTTCACTTGGTCCCAATCGAAGGATCCTGCATCAAAGGTGGCACCAAGATGTAGCAAAGTTGGCCCCCGGTCACTCTTGACCTTGGTTTGCAACTATACCCCAAAATCAGTACCACCATCTTGAAGCTTTTACGAACATGCACATATTAACACATATAATAGTATTTTGTTCAAATATGTGTGTTATATCTATACCACATGCATGTAAGTATGGCTTGAACGTGAAACACATATAGATTAATGCTGCTTTGGCACTGGCTGGCTTGACTCTATTTCACAGTCCCTGTCAAAGTACTCCATGAACTCATTTTCCGACTCCACCATTTGTTTGGATCGCCTAAGGTTAGCAATGCATGCATCATCCCATCATAAACTAATGCACCCCTGAAGTTGTTTGATATATATCCCATTCTTCCCCATTTGCAGTGAAGCTGCTTCAGATGAGGGGGGCTTCCATACCCAGCGGTGCGCTTCTTGCCAGTGACAGGGCAGTCATAGGTCAAGAGATCCGTCAACAAACAATCCTCCATTGCATTTTCTGGATCAGAAAGCATTAGGCTGCACAATTGTTTTCACAAATTGAAGTCGATTTTGGAATTTAAAACTATATCTTCCAAACATCGCGATGAATAGCTTTACCTATGTAGATATAGAAAAAATGGAATGATGAGAAACCTCTTTAGAACATGTTTGTAAATTGCACCTTTGGTCAAGATTTCAACCAGCTCTGAGACTGCAAACGCCAGCGGGAAGGGTCACCATTCTCCAGTGCACATAAAGCACCCTTCTTTGCTGGGTTCCCCGGCGCCATTGGCAATGAGCTTTGCAAAGTGGTGAAGCAATTCCAGGCCAGGGTCACCTGGCATGAGGATCATGAGGAACATGAGGAACATGGACTGGGAAAAAATGATAATCCGGGTCAATGTTTCATGATGTGCTTTATTTATTAGAATTCCATGGGCATAGTGGGAATGTTGGTGGAATTCAGCATGCCATCATGTGATGAAGTCTTACGAGAGGCAACATTTCTGCAACATTTTTTGGAGTCCATACCCCATCCAATCTGGCAGCGACGTGCAGCCAGTGCTTGTCAAGAATTTCAAATTTAGAAGCATTTCAGCTTCCCTCTTCACCCCCAAATCGGAGTGTATGTATGTCACACACCCAGTTCCAAGATTTTGCCAAATTGAAGGCATCTAAGGGGTGCATGTTCTCACGCACACCGCTAGCCTTTCAACAAGATCCCAGCTCAGACAGCCAACTCACTCCTCCCAGCTGTTGATGATTTTACGGAGTGCTCGGAGAACGCTCCTAGGAGAGAGCAAATATAGACAAGGAAAAACAAGAATAGGTAGATATACATAGGTAGAAAAGGGCTCATAAACAGGATTGGTAATCTATCAAATAACCGGGAATGATGCGATTGAATGCAACCAAAGTTCCTGGCTCCGGACTCGCTGGTGGTCACCTTGCTGCACCTCAGAGCTGTGGGGTTCTCAACCAGCATGGCCAGGATTGTGGAACTTTGGAACAACACTTCATGGTCAAGTGCAATGTAAGGCGCGCAAGGGTGGTCTTCAGAATTTGGGCCTCAATCTTCTCACGTAGCCTCGGCCCCAAATAGTGAGGTTTGAAGCCCATGAATATACAACATAAACACATATAAACACCAAACAATGTGGCTACCACCTTTTCCCAACCAAAGAATGAAATTGTAACCAGAGAACTCCGTCTCCCCAGCACTTCCAGGCATAGCTTTCTTGTGCTTGGCCATGGAGGCTTTGACCTGCTCGCATGCCTCGAACTCAGCTTCCAAGACTTTGACGGCGTTCTCCAGATTCTGGACTGACCTAAAGATTAGTTGGTTGAACTAGTGGGGAATGGCAACAATATTTCATCACCTATCACAGGAATACTGAAATGTCTTTTGTTTAAGAATTGCGTTGCTGAACACTGCACGCCCAGCGATGGACATTGACCAGCTAAGTAATGGGCTTGGTTGCCCTTTTGTGATCACCAGTGTCCGGGGTCTTGCCTGACTCCTCCAAGGCCTGCTCCAAGTCTGCGATGATCTCGGAGAGCTTGGTGCACTTTACCAGGAGACTGTCCGCGAACTTCTTGAAGCGCTCCCACTCCTGAGTGTTGAGAAAGGGTAGCTGAGGGTGCTAGGCTTACTTGTTTTCTTGAGTGTTTAAAATGCCTAATCATGAAATCCACATATTTGTTTGTTGGTGAATGGTGAATTCCATATAGCCTATCAATGCTGAAATTTGCCTTGAAGTATTTCATGCATGCAGAAACTGTCCTCCTCAGCACTGTTGGAAACCTTCGCATCCTTTTCCTTGCCCTCAGCATCTGTTTCCGAGTCTGAAGTCTCGGGTAGCTCTGGAACTCCTGCCCCCTGGCGCCTCCCAAGCCGGTTCAAGCTGACACCACCATCGCGCACCTGCAGGACAGCAAGGGCAGAGATGATCTATGTGGTTTGGCAGGCAGCTTGTTGGTGAGACATGGGATTAGGGTCCTAGTAAATATAAGGGCCTCCGTTTCCTCAGTACGTTCGATTTCTTCGTCTTCACTTACATTCTCATCCTCCTCTTCGATCTCAACATAGAATTTGTCAATCTTCTTGTTGTAGCGGTCTTTCCTAGTTTTTTTCATCATGGCGGCATAAAGAAAAATAATGCTGGCTCAATGCTCAGAAAAGCTATGGAATATTATGGAAGACACATCAGGGTTTTACAAACATGTTCGTTCAGTTGAGTACGGAATGACATGTTTTCAGAGAATTGGCAAAGGGATGTTGACAAGTCTCTTGACCAGCTTCTCATTGCCCTTGCGTCGGCAGTAGGCCACCACCGACTTGATGTACTGCCTCGGGTCGATTTTTTTCAAGATCTACGGGGGGCCAATACCCCACCACGTTAAAAGAACCTTTCAAGACTTTGTTGTTGGATAAAAAATTACATGTTCACGACTAAATACTTGCTCCATTTGAGCTTGGTCGACATTGACTCTTCGGTGTGCCAACCCCTGCGCTTCTTCTTTGACAACTTCGAAGACTTCTGAATGATCCGGGTCATATGGGTAACAAACCGGTCCTGCAGAGACAAGCTAGAATTGGAGGTATGAGGGTCCAAGGGGCCCCAAAACTAAACACCTCAAGATTTCAGTTCAGTCAATGGTGAGAATTTTGGGGTAATGAATCACATCTATTATGATTATTTCAACATGATAGAATAATTTGAAGTCCTTGTCCCATCCCACTTCATCCAGCTTGTCAACCATGGAGTCACGCTCATCACGGTTTGCTTTCAACCATTTCTCATGCAGCGCCAGTGGGACGTTTATTTTCCCACTGGGCTTGCGCTCGCACAACCTGCGAAGGCGAGCTTGCTTGGCAGCATCCGTTTCTGGAAGCTCTGGAGCTGGAGGACCGGCATTGGGCTCAGGCATTGGGGGGCTGGCTTTGCTCTTGGCAGCTGTTGCTTTCACAGCCGCTGCCTTGGCAGCCCGAGACTTACAAAACGGGTCACCACTGCTAGAACCACCATCCCTACCCGCTTGGACACGGAGAGCTTCCAGCTCCTTCATCATTTGCTTGCTAGCCTCATCCCGGGGATGTGTTGATCGATTCACTTCCCTATTGAATGCCCCCAGACACACGTGGTTTGATATTGAATCCAGTCACTTTTGGGGCCCATATTGGGGTGTACTATATATAATATGGATAACACTCACTATTTTATGTGAGGAGGAAAAAGTGAGGAAGGATTACCGTAAATGATGTCTATGTATACACTGCTTTGCAGGCAACATCAGGCAACAACATGAAAAATCCAAACGTGTGTGTTCATCGGTTTCTGGAAACTTTTGATATTAAGCTGGAAGGCACCAGTGGCCTTCCCATGAGAATTCAAGAAGGTTGACAGTATAGAAAACAATTTGACACTGAAGTTGTTCGCGAGTCATGATAAGAATCCAAACATGTTGGTAAATAAAAAATACACGATTCACTTTGAATCTAGAAACGTCCAATTAAACTTGCATTCAGGTGTTGGCCTCCCAACCCCCTGCCTGTCGCAGCTCGTTGATGGTTTGATCTTTGTCAGGATCATCTGGCCTACCCTTCTGGCGCTTCAAGTGGGCAGGGTTCCCAGATCCCGGAGGGCTGCATGGTGCTTGGGATGCTTTGCCTGATCCCCTTGCTGGAGTGGCCACTGGTCTAGCTGTCACTGGTTTGGCCAAAGCACGCTTGGGCTTGGATTGTGGGGCCTCATTAGACCTGATCTCCTCCTCTGTAGCCTAGGACCATCAAATATTCAACATAAATAGTATTGCGACACAATGATTTTGAATCAAATGGCATGGATAGGAAACAGTGAACATGATGGATTATCCCAATGGTTTTGCAGCTGAGATTCTGGTTGGGTCTCCTCCTTAGCATTCATTGTCCCCACATATGTCTGTGATTTGGAGGAATTGTTCAGATATTAATGCTAGAAAAAGGAATTACACCAAACATAATTGAAGCACTGCAGACAAACAGCCGAGTAGCTTCGGGACTTGCTGAATTCTTCAACCGTTCCAATTCAGCTTCATACTCCTGGAGTTGTATTGAGGTACCAAACATACCCCAAATAAAGCAAACCAATCCTAAAACTATCTAAAGATCACAAACAGTATCTGTGGCACACCCAATGACAAACCATACGGGTCACCAACCACTTGAAATCATTTTGAAATCATTCCGGAAAAGGAATATCCAATAAGAGACCCCAACTGGGGATAGTCTGTCATTGCGTTTGCCTTATCATAGTTGCATTCTAACACAAATGAAATCTCCTGAATTTTTCGCTCCATCGAGGAAGGGGAATCTCGCTCCATCTTTGCACCAATGAGCTTGTGATGCCCTTCAACCATCTCCGAGCAACTATGGGATTTACTAGGCACCCCCCGCCTCATCCCAGCTTCCCAACTACCAACTAACAAGCTTGCTGCACAGGTCACACTGGCATCTGAGCCAAGGACTTGCCGATGGAGGGTTTGAAGAATGGCAGGGAATGGTCACCGCTGTAATTTGATAACTGCTGTTGAACGGCATCCCATTTGAGTTTTGGACGCTATAGTTCATTAGAACTTACCGACGATTCATGGCTAATCTCATTGGTGCGGTATGAAACGTTAAGTTTGGGGTGAAAATCTATGAAAATCTATGAAAATCTCCTATTTTCAGACATCTTCAATTTTGGCTAAATTACGGGAATATTACGTAAAATATTACGCATTTTTACGGACTTTTTACGCAAAAATACGCACCTTTTACGGGTCCCAGATTGATACGTATTTTTTACGTAATTTTTACGTAAAGTACGTTTTTTTTGAAATTAGATGAAATTGATGGAGGAGCTTCCAAATTCTCAGCTTGGGGGTACCTGGGCCTTTGTGAAACAGCTGGAAACCAGTCTCCCGAAATATGGGCAGCTTTGGCAAGACCTTTTTTCTCACCCGGCACATGTGTGCCATAGTATGCGGTGGGCATCCAGTGGATATTTCCACAAGAATTCAGAGAATTAATTGAACAAAATGGGTTCAGCCTTCAACTTCCATCACCCCTGCTATAGGTCTAGGTTTTTGCTACAAACAAAATTTATTCCAGGAGTTCACCTTTACAGTAGAATGGATCAAGTTTGGGGCGCTTGGAGGTTGGTTAAATGTGAGTTGGGAAGAGGGGCCGCCACTCACCAAGTTGTAGGCTCTTTGAACCTCTTAAATAGCAGAACAGGTCATCAAGTCCTGCATCACTCCATGTGTCATCATCCCAATCACATATATTTAAAATCCTTTCCGTAGAAGTACTTGGTGCATCTTCACAAAGCAGTTCTGGGGGGAGTGCTTCACGGTTGGAAATAAATCTACCGTAGTACTTTGCCAATCGCAATGCGAAGCGAGGAGGATATGTCCTTAGATGGAACGGTGTCCCGTGGTCCCTGAATCAAAACATCATGCAGTGACCCCAAAACTAGTTCCCCAATCTCTACAAATGGTGAAAGATAATTAGTCACTGTACTTTTAGGGTTACAACCAAAAATCCGTTTTGGAGGTCTATTATGTCTATGGACCCGGGAAACCACAATCCAGTTGAGAGGCTGTCCCCATTCCCACTAATTATATAATATTATAGATAAGAATCTGTGTGTTTTTCAAGAACTTTGTGCCAACGAAGGCCCGCTTCCCTCGTCCATTGG